AGGATGACTTATCATTACATATAACCAAGACATTTTTAAGTAAAGAAACGTCAAAACAAATTATCTTTCACAGATGTGCACCGTAAGAAATGCTAAATGAAGTTCTTCAGGTAAAAGGGAAACAACACCAGATGGAAACTTAGATCTGTGAGAAGGAATGAAGAACACTAGGAATGGTAAATATATGAATAAATATAAAAGCCTGATTTCTTCCCTCTTAATTTCTTAAAAAATGTGTAACTAATTAATATGTCATACAACTTATGAATATGAAGATGTGATAGATGAGATTAGAACAAAGGATGAAGGTGTAAGAGCAACTATAATATATAGCTGCAAGCAACTTACATAAAATAGTCAAACTCAGCACTCCTTCATGAGATTTAACACCAAAGAACTCATGGAAAACTAGAAATAAGAATTTGGTTAACCTGATAAAAGATACCTCCTGATAAAAGATATCTAACCCAAATCTACAGTTAAAAAAACCACTCCCTGTTAAAGTTGGGAAAAAGACAAAGATAGATGTCTTCTACCACTTCCTCCTGTCAACAATGTACTAGATATCCTGTCTAGCACAGTACAACAAGAAGGGAAGAAAAAAAGATTTAGACTCAGAAGGAAGAAAACAAACAAAAAATAATAGAAAATTCAAGAAAACAAAGACAATTAGAACAAGAACTTTCTGCAAGGTTACTGGATACAAGATGAACATACAAAATTCAATTGAAGTCTTTTATACCAATAACAACTAGAAAATTACTAAGCCACTTGCTTTGGCTCATGTCTGTAATCCCAACAGTTTGGAGGCTGAGGCAGGAGGATTGAGCCCAGGAGTTCAAGACCAGCCTGGGCAACATAGAGTGACCCTGGCTCTATAAAAATTACTAAAATTAGCCAGGCACAGTGGCATGTGTCTGTAGTCCCAGCTAATTGGGAGGTTGAAGTGGGAGAATCGCTTGAGCCTGGGAAGTAGAGCCTTCATTGAGCTGTGACTATGCCACTGCACTCTAGCCTCAGTGACAGAGTGAGACCCTTTATCTTAATGAAAAATAATAACAATAAAAGAAAAAGAAGAAAATTGCTTAGAAAGATCTTAAAAAAATTAAGGAATACTACTGCTTATGTGTGAAAGGTTTTCTATAGTAAAGAAAAAAACTCTCTTTATATTAATCCTGTGTACTTACTATAATTCCCATCAAAATCTCAATAGTTTTTTAAATAGAACTTTAAAAGTAGATCCTAAAATTACATGGAAGAGCAAAGTCAAGAAAGCCACTACAATTTTGAACAACAAGGTGAGAACTCTTGTCTGCCATATATCAAGATATGGTAATTAATTCGGTGTGATACACAGGCAGACACATATTAAAAGACCAATGAAAGAGAAAATAGCCCAGAATCAAACCCACATGAATATGTAAACTTAATATATAATAGAGATGGCACTATAAATCAACGTGAAAGGGATAGGCTAGTCAATAAATGTTCATTCATACATAAAAATAAAATTCCTGCCTCATACCATACAAAAAAACATTAAAGACTTGAAGGTATAAATCTCTAACACTCTAAACTATAGGCAACTATTGTCATGTCATTAAGTCAGGAAGCATTTTTTTTGAGGAGTCTCACTCTCTTGCCCAGGCTAGAGTGCAATGGCGCAACCTCTGCCTCCCAGGTTTAAGCAATTCTCCTACCTCAGCCTTCTGAGTAGCTGGGATTACAGACATGCACCACTACACCCAACTATTTTTTCTTTATTTTTAGTAGAGACGAGATTTCACCATTTGGCCAGGCTGGTCTTGAAATCCTGACCTTGTGATCCGCCCACCTCAGCCTCCTAAAGTGCTAGGATTATAGGCGTGAGCCACTGCTCCTGGGAAGTCTGGAAGAATGTGTTAAGCAATATTCAAAAAGCACAAACCACAAAAGAATGAATAATTTTCACTATATAAAAATTAAAAATTTTGATATAACCAAAGACATCATAAGATAAGCCAAAGCCTGGGAAGAAATATTCACAATACAAACAATGAACAAAAGATTGGTATCAGAATGTATTAAAAACTTCTACAAACCAAAACAAACAACAGGCCAATTGCAGTGATTCACACCTATAATCCCAGCCAAGGATTACAGGAGGCCAAGGCAGAAGGATGACCTGAATCCAGAAATTCGAGACCATCCTGGGCAGCATAGGAAGACCCCATCTCTACAAAGAGTAAAACAAAATTAGCCAGGTACGTTGGCACGCACCTTTAGTCCCAGCTACCTGGGAGGCTGAAGCAGGGGGATCACTTGGGCCTCGAAGGCTGAGGATGCAATGAGCTGTGATCCTACCACTGCACTCTAGCCTGGGCAACACAGCGAGAAACCTTGTGTCTAAAAAATAAATAAATAAATAAATAAATCGACAAAAACACACACAATTGAAAAATGGCCAAGATACGAATGGGCAAATCATAGACAAAGGACCACAAACAGGAAACACATAAAACAACATCTAAAAATATGCTCAATCTCCATAGTACTCAGGAAAATGAACCTGACCTCATCAAACTGGCAAAAACACTAGTTAAAAATAAGGAAATGGGTCACTCACTGTTGTTCCAAGTGTAATTTGGCACAGCCACTTTGGAGAGCAATCTTGCAATAAATAATCTCATAAAGCTGAAGAAAGAACTACCCTATCACTCACTAATTTCACTTCTAGGTACAGTCCCTGGAGAAACTCTTAAATGAGTATAAAGAGACATGATTGCAGGATTGTTTATAATGGCCAAAAAAAAAAAATTAGCAACCTAAATGTAGATCAAGAGGAAAACAGACACTGAACTATAGAATGGACTACTATGTAGCAGGAAAAATGAATAAACTAGAATTATGTGCATCACTATCAGTAAAAAATGCTGAATGAGATAAACGCAATTTGCAGAGTATATACAGTATGTTCCATTAGTATACAGCTTTAAAACATATTAAAATAAAACAGACTGCTTATGGACACAAACACTGTAGTGAATAATATACCAAATTCTTACTAATGGTTTGAGGAGGGAGGGAGAAAGGGAAGGGCTTCAACTATATCATAAATTATTTTATATAAAAGATCTAAATTATGGCAGATTGCTAGCTGTTCATTCAGTATTTTCTTCTTCTTTTTTATAAATCAAACTGCTGTATTATTAAAAATGGCAAATTTACATCTTCTGGCTTGCCTTGAAGATTAGGGTGGCCAATATCAGAAATCAGTGGGTGGGAATATGGGAAAGATTTTTAATGGGACCAACTTCATGGAGATAAGGGTCCTTTTGCCCTTACCCCTCGATTCTGCTCCCTGGAAAACAAACACAATGGATAGAGCTGCAAGGACCTTCTTTGCAATGAGGAGATGACCCTGAGAAGGAAAGTCACAAGCTAAAGACTGCAAAACGGACAGATAAAAGGAACTGGGTCTTTGGCAACCACACAGCTGTCATATCCTGAGAGGAAAAAACCTCCATCTTGTTTAAAGCCACTTTCTGTGGGGGAAGAGGGAATGCAGGAACCTTTTTTGATGCTGCCAAACCTGATGCTAACAAACACAGAAAGAAAACGGTCAAAATAGAAAAATAAAATGAAACAGGGAGAGGTGGCTTCATGGCTTGTTCCTTATCTTCTGCTAACTGTACTTTTGTATAGGCTCTACGTTTTTATTTAAAAAAAAAACTTTTACTTTCCAGACTTTAAACAGAGATTCTCAAATGTTACTCACAAACAACTGTTGGTCCACAGATCAAGTTAAAATGTAAAGACAACATGTATACTCTATGAGGTGGCCCCCCAGAGTGGATAAAGAATTCACTAGAAGCTTGCCAACCACACACTACTGAGTGCAGACAGTTACTACACTGTTGTCATCAGTATTGCCACTGCCAGTTTGGATAACAAACAAGACTGTATGATCCCACAGTCTCTTGGCTCTGGACTACAGATGAGAAAGACCAAAAACAATTTGCAGACTAAATGGAAATCTCTGTTGTCACTCCCTTTTCCCAATTTTTTTCCGTGCATTCCCCAGAGCTCAGTGCCATACTTTTCCTCCTCCACAACTGGATCATCTGTGAGGAGAAAAGGAAGAAAAAAAATCTCAAAGGACAGTAGTACCCTTAGATGAAATTTTGGTTTTTGTACGTTTGTAAGCATGAAGATTCTTTTGAGAACTACTTTCCTTAAAACAGTGTCTGATGTTACTTGGATACTAACTTAAATGACCTTTTGAGTCTAAAAAGTTTTCGGATTTGCTCAACAGATCAAATAAAAACTGAAACTTGAGTTAGGGTCAGAGTTTAGATTTTTGGCACTAACAATAGCCTGCAATATTTAGTTACCATTGAGAAAACAAAACAAAACAAGAAACCTTTTCATTTATTAGCATGTTACAGAAAGACAGTATTCTGGTTAGTCACAAATTCTACCTTATAGATTTATCGCAGATACCACACACTGCAAAACAACCATACCCTTCCTTTTTTCCTTAACTAATCAGTAATTTGGTATATCAGTTTTTGTGTTGCTGTTTTTTCTAATTTGGTTTCTGTCTTATTAGTCTCTCCCTGATGTTATTTAACTTCTCCTAGTTTATAACCTTAGTGGTTGTTCCGCATTCTTACCTGCTGATTTTCCTGTGAAAAGCTATTCTCCACTTCTTTTCCTCAATTCAGTCTGCCCTGTAGTCTCAGACTGATTCTGTACTGCTATCAGTTAAAATTCATTCTAGGGGACGACCTCAAGTGGCTTTTCTTGATATTTGTTTTAGCTCTTTGGGGGGCTGATTATAGGATTTGCTTCCTGCTCTCAGAACAAACAAACAAAAACAGTGCAGTACAATTGTTATTTACTTAACAATGTAATAAGAAAGCTAAGTAAATTGTTGGGGGAAAAAAAAAAAACCTGAAATAAACCTCTATTTAATTCACATCAATAACTCAAAACATTTCTTCTGTATTATTATTATTTTTTATACGGAACGCTTCATGAATTTGCGTTTCATCCTTGCGCAGGGGCCATGCTCATCTTCTCTGTATCGTTCCAATTTTTTTTTATCTGTATCGTGCTGCTGAAGCAAGCACTCTTCTGTATTATTTTTTTAAATTATAATTCTCAAAGCTGTATTCTACAGAACATTCTAATCATTTGGGCTATCTCTCCTTTCCTTTTTAAATACACTAAACAGTTACACACTTTGTCTTTATTAACCACAATGTAACTAAGAGATAAATTTTTTGCAGATGCCATTTCTCCACTTGAGCTTTAGAGAATTTAAGAATTAAGTCCATCCATGAGCAGTCTTCTTCAAACACACATTACAGTCTAGTCTCAAGCTTCCTTCTTGAGACCCTAACCATAAATTCAAGAGGAATAACTAAAATTTTTTTAAAGATGCAAGCATACCAAAGAACATATACTTTTTAATAAATACAAAATTATTTTACAGCTTTAGGCTGCACTTAATGTAACTGAAATAATGTAAAATTACTATGAATGAAACCAATGTAAAATTATTTTCCTAATGGTACTGTTCAAAATGCTATCTCACTGTATGAGAAAAATCAAATAACCGTTAAAAGTTTTGCATTTTGCTGTGCTGTTAACTGCAGTAGTGCTCTCTATTCATGTTCAGTGTTTGGCTGTCAAAAAAAAAAAAAAAAAAAAAAAAGAACAGCAAAGCAGCCTTAAAAGATGAAACCTTTATCGCTAGAGCAAAGTTTATGGTTTCATTATAAAGAACCCTAATCTGAACCCTAAAAAGAAAAGAGGGAAAGAAAGGGAAAAAAATAATCTTTAAAATAGGTATTATTTCTTCTTAAGGAAAATGTTTTCCTAAAAACTAAATGTACTATGTTGATCTGGTTTGAGTTTTGAATCTACAAATCAACTTAAAAAGACACTTCAGGGACCAATAGGGAAATGTGATTATGAACTGGGTTATTACTGGGTTATAGATGCTACTAAGAAATTACTGTTAATTAGAAATAATAACAGCATTGTGGTCATACTCAAAATGTTCTCATTTTAAAAGATCTATACTCAAGAATGCTAGCAGTTAAATGACATGATATCTTCTATTGCTTTAAAATACTGTGCTTGGGGGTAGGGAAGTGAGGGTAGATTGAGAGGTAGAACACGTGGGAAAATCTCGGTGTTTGCTGAATCTGGAGGATGGATACAGGTTTAAGGGGATTCGTTTCACTGCTCCGTCTACTTTTATACATGTTAGATTTTCTCAAAATATGAAGCTTCTTTGTTTAAAACAAGTAAGTAACTTTTAAACGTGTTTCAGAAAGCTAAAAGCTAAATTAGGATTATCACTGGATTTAACCTCTTACTTTGGCTGGCCAAACACTGCACACATTGGTGTTCTGTGAACAAAATCAAGGGACATAGTAGACATTTGTTCACTTAACAAATTTGTTAAGTGCCTATTTACTATATGCCAAGCATTTTACCAGACCATAGGAGAACAAAGATAGGTTAGACAATCTCACTGTCTTTAGGGAGGAAATGGTCAATATAAATACCTGTAATAAATGATTCTTGGTGGTGAGAGAGAAGAGTCTAGAGAACAGAAGCCACAGACAGGAAACGGAGGGTGAGCTGTCTGAATGCCTGCAATGTACCGCTTGTGTTACATTCACCCATCGCTCCTGCTCAAATGGGGAAGGAACTACTCATAGAGTTTTGTTTGTTTTCATACCACACCTCGCCCAGCACAAATGAGTCAGGATCTATGGTTACAGGGTTCCTCAGTGGATGATTAGGCATTAAAGAGAGAATTTTATCCTAATAGCAACCCTTTCAAGTGGGTTTTATCTTCATTTTCAGCTGAAGAAGCTGAAGTCAGAAGTTTTAGTGGTGGACCATACAACATTAGAACATCAGAGAACATCAACACTAGAGGACTGGAAGGTCTGAGAAGTCACAGAATTTGAAGAGTGGTGCCAAAACAAAACACGACAGAGCTCTAAAAAAGGAGTCTGGGACAATGCTAACTGCCACAGAGAAAGGTTACATGACACTGGAAGCTGTTTCTGCCAAGTATTCAGCAAGTTACCATGAATGTGGAGATTTAAACCCAACACTAAAATACTAGAGGGTTTTACAACCTGTACTAAGCAAGAGAAATCAAACATTACTCAAGACTTCAGGTCAGGATATTTCAAGCCTTAGTACTAGCCTCATTAGCCATATGCAATGCGGGTCAGATAAAAAATACCCAGTGTCCAAAGCAATAAAGGCTATCTTTCTTTTAATAGAGATATAAATTAAAAGAGGAGAATAAAAGCATAACAACAATTAACAACTTACTGTATGCTGAGCACTTTTATGGGAACTAAATAACAATCCTCCCAACAAACCAGTGAGCCAGGTACTATTATGCTACCATCTTACAGATAGGAAACGTGACACTTTAAAAAGTTAGGTAATTTGGCCAGAGTCACATAGAATATAAATGTCAAAGCCAGAATTCAAAATTAGGTCACAGCAACTATGATGAAACACCCACAAACCTGTATCCTTTACAGTGTCGACCTCTGCAATTCACATAAATTAAATCATATTATAATTTTCTGCTGCCTTTTAAATCCAACATCATGTTTTTAAGACTCATCCATATTGATGTAGTTTACTAACTTCAGTGTCATAAAGCAAGGACTGGCAAACTACTATTTTTGTAAATAAAATTTTACGTGAATGCAGGCACTCTCATTCGTTTTATGTATGGTTTACGGCTGCTTTTGCACTACAAAGGCAAAGTTGTCAGCCTTTACAAAGACTGCATGGCCTGCAAAGGCTAAAATACTTACTATCTGGCCCTTTACAGAAAAGTTTGCCAAACTCTGTCATGGAGAAGTGCAGTGGTATACTTGACAATGTCCAAGTTTTACAATTTCATCAATGTAGCTTTAATTTGTATTGCCCTGAAAACTGTTTACTGGCTACTCATTTTTTCCTAAGAAACAGCTCTTGCTTTCTTTTGCCATTAACTGTTTTCACACTTCCGTATATATGTGTACTAACATATGGGTGTGTGTATTACTGTGGTTTAAAAAATCCTTGCCCTTCGTATGAGAAATATCTTCTACTTGTGTATATGTGACTAGTCTTTACACTGTCCTTTTTGTGGACACAAAACCCCAAAGATCTTAATTTTAGTAGAGCCAAATTAATAAAGCTTTTCTTTCAACAATTGTGCTTTTGGCATCCAAAGCCTGAGGTCTAAAATACTAATATTTTATTCTGAAGGCTTAAGTTTTGCCTTTCACAATCTAGTCTTTAATCCATCTGGAATTTTTTTTTTATACAGTGTGAAGTAAAAACCAATTTTAAAATATGTCTAATAATCCCAACACCATTTACAGAGTATTCCATTTCCTTGATTTGTAACATCAGCTCTGTCATGTATCAGGTTTCTATGTATTTAGAGTTCTGTTTTTTGCCTTAATTTCCTTCCATTATCTATTTGTCTATGCTTGTCCAAATACTACACCATCTCAATGATTAAAGTTTTACATTGTCTTAAAATCTTGTAGGACAAGTACTTGCTTCAAGAATGTCTAAGCCAATCTTGATCCTTTGTATTTCCAAATAAATTTTAGAATTAACTGGTCAAATTCCACAAAAACAAACAAATCTATACCCTGCTGGGTGTTTTTTTAATTAGCAATAAATTCATATATTTAAGAAAGATTGATTGATATATTTATAGGAAACCATGTATCTATGAACACAGTATGTCCTCACATTTACTAAGGTCTTAATTTTAGTCTTTTGATATATTTCTGTGCCTTTTATTTAAAGATCTTGCCTCCTCTGTTTCTGTTTATTCCTAGGTGGCTTTTTTACTACTCAGAAATATTTTTATTACATTTATTATTGTATGCTGCTAGTTTAGAGTAATAGAACTGACTTCACCATATTGATCTTTTTGCTGATTTGTCAGCATTCCTTGCAGATTCTGGATATCAGTCCTTCAGATTTTACCATATTAATCACATATTCAGCAACTTAAAAAATTCTTGAATTTTCTATGAAGATATTCATATTCACTCTTAAGGAATGACCATTTTGTTCATTCCTCATAGCCTTGTAGCTCTTTTCTGCCTTATTGCACTAATTCATATCTCCAGTGCAATCATAAAGAGGTAGAGTAACAGTGGGTATCTTTATATTGCTGCTGATTTTTAAAGGAATGCCATTAATGTTTCCTTATCAAATACTATATTTGCTATAGGTTCTTCAAATGCCCTTTGTCAGGTTACAGAATTTCCCTTCTGTTCTTTGTTATGAGTTTTTATCATAAAAGAGAGGTAATTTTTAATAATTTTTTTTCTGCATATTTTAGGATACAGTTCTTTAAACTGCTTGTACGGATAATTACATTAGCAGTCCTTCAAATGCGGAACCAAGCTCACCTTCCTGGAATAAACCCTTTGTCCAATTTACAGTATTTCCTTTATACACTGCTGAATTCAACTTGCCAAGTTGTTTCTGATAGTCTTTTGCTCTTTAGCCGTATCTTTATACTCTGTAAACTTATTAAGCATTTATCTTATATTCCATATCTGACAATTACAACATCTGCAATGTTTGAATGCCTGATTACATGGTCTCCTTGCTTTAATTAACTTTAAATCATGTATTTAAAGTGTTTTTGGCTTTTTAAATTGTGAATGCATTTCTAGGAAGAAACTTTACCTGTGTCAATTCTCTGAGGCCTGTGTTCCTATATGCCTCCGTGAGGATTTCATTTGATTCTCAGTCTTGAGACTACTTTTCTCTAAACTCTTGGCTCAGTTTTCTTCTTTTTCCCCACCATGAAGGCAGTATGAACTCCAACCCCAAATCCAGTTAGAGTGGACTTGTAGTTATAATTTTTCAGAGAAGGTTATTTTATTCTTCCAGTGAAAATCTGAAACAGGCAAACGTGTTCCTATCTCCCTACCTTATGCTTTTTCAACCCCTGAGGGATAGGTTTTTATTTTTTCCCTAGTTTACCTACTGACACCTTTCAGGGAGTTTCAGCTTTACACAAAGGTCTCTGGATTTTTCTTGGCACCT